ATACATTTTTATTTGGTTTTACAAATATAGTTACAACAACAAAAAAAAAAACAAAAACAAAAATAGGATAGTGAAAAGCTACACAATATCACAGTATAGGTGTTGTGGTAAAGTTTAACAAAGAGAAAAAAGGAAATATTGAATAATTCCTAACAGTCCTACTAGTTCCACAAAATAATCATTTTAGAGTATCCAAAAAAAGTTAAACATAATAATATCTTAGGTTACAGTTCTGAACCAGTCGGACCAGGGTTTCCAAGCTTTGTCAAATTTAGTAATTCTATCATTTAGGTAAGCTAAAGATTTCTCATAGATGAAGTGGGTCTGGACTAGCTCAATAACTTCTTTTAGAGAAGGGGCTAAGTTTTATCCTGTGTCTAGTAATGGTAAGTCTTGATGCTAAAAGAATATGTGTTACTAAGAGTCGATAATGGATATGTATTTATATTTATATTCAAAATGGCTAGGGTAGGATCTGGTTGTTTTAATATCCCAGTAATTTCCGATATCATGTGGAAGACTTTATACCAATAATTTCTAATATTTTTACATGTCCATAATATATGTAATAGAGTACCAATCTGACTGCAGTTTCTCCAGCTTTGAGGACTATGTTGTTCTGAGAATTTGGCCATTTGATAAGGAGTTAGATACCATCTTGTGGAAATTTTGTGCATTAGCTCCCAAAGGATAACACATCTAGTAGCTAAAAACACATTCCCGAATGCACATTCCCACTGCTCATTAGAGATTTTAGTCTCAAAGTCTTTTTCCCACTTGATTAAGGGAGTAGTCTTGTTAAATTCTGATTTACATTGTAGAAGGTTATAAAATAGGATTATACCACCTGATTTAGCTATAGAACTGTAAAGATACTTTGGGTATATATATTGTTTTTACTGGATGTTTCGATAGGCAATGACTAATGCCTGTATAGGTTGATTTTTCAGAAGGGAGGAGGTTAAATTCTTTCATAAGGAATTCAACATTTTTTATATCATTTTTAACACAAAAAAATCTTGTATTGTGCATACGCCATTATGTTTCCAATTCAAGATATCTATGCTAAGCCTTCTAAGGCTGATATAGGTATAGGAAGAGGACTTATTTGGAGAGGATCTATAGGCATTGAGCTTAAGGATTTCCAGGCTTCAATTGAGTCTCATTCAGTTGGTGTTGTATTACTAGTGGGAATCCTTTGCCCCGAGCTCACTAGTAGTATGGCGCTTAAATTTGTAGAAGAGGCTAGAGTTTTTTCAATGTCACCCCCCCATTTTTTATCATTTTCCACTATAAACCAATGTTTAAGTTGGTCTAATAATGATGCTTTCGTGATAGTCCCTAATGTCAACAAATCCCGTTCCTCCTATTTTTTGTGTTTGATTAATATATTATGTGAGCATCTAGGTCTCATATTTCCCCAGATGTATTTTTTAAGCATAGATTGTAGTTGTTTTTTTTTTAATTCATCTTTTTATTTTATAGTTATACAAACAACATTAAAACATCTTCCTATACAATATATACTTTTCTCATTTTTCCATAATATAAATACATTCTTTGACCCACAACCATCCTCCCCCCCTCCCACCCCCCCCTTATCGCCACGCTCTTATATCTATCTATATCCATTTTGCCATATCTTTAATTCCGTCTATATTCCCATAACTTCTTAGGCTACCTCCTTTGCTCTAATTAATTGTGTATAAATTTCTGAGTTTTTGCATTTCCTCCAAACACTCCATATTCTTTTAAACATTCCCATCTTATCCACTTCTAAGCATCTCAGTTCTTCTATTCTAAAAGTACCTTCCACTCTATCTATCCAATCCGCCGCCATCTTGGGAACATCTGCCACTAACCAGAATCTCAAACCATTGTCCCTCCCTTATCTCCCGGGTATAAACCCCACCTGGTCCAAATGCACCCAATCGGACATCTGGTCCTTCAACCTTATTGCCAGTACTTTTGCATACAATTTAGTATCTACATTTAACAGTGAGAACGGTCTATAATTTGCGCACAGGGAGCTATCCTTCCCCTCCTTCAAAATGAGGGTAATGTATGCTTTGAGGGATTCTTCCCTCATTTCTGATCCCTCTCCTATCGCATTCATGTATTTACATATTTTGGGAACTAATATCTCTTTGAATTTTTTCAAGTATCTTACTGTGTACCCATCTGGCCCTGGGCTTTTACCTACTTTCATACTTTTTAGGGCATCATTAATTTCTTTTGGGGTAATTGGGCTTTCAAGATTTTCCAGTTTTTCCTTTGCCACTCATGTAAGGTCCACCTCACTTAGATATTCTTGTCTTCTTTTTCTCTCTTCCTCTTCACTTCCCCAATACTTACCCCTCCTTACATTATACAGTTCACTGTAATAATTATGAAACTTACTAGCTATATCTGATGTTTTATACAAACTCTCTCCCTTCCTATCACTAATCTTTTCAATGAAATTCCTCACTTGTTTATTTCTGAGTCTTCTTATTAAGTATTTTCCAGGTTTATTTCCCCATTGGTATCTTTCTTTTGCCATTCTACTATACAGTCAGGTCCATAAATATTGGGACATCGACATAATTCTAACATTTTTGGCTCTATACACCACCACAATGGATTTTAAATGAAACGAACAAGGTGTGCTTTAACTGCAGACTGTCAGCTTTAATTTAAAGGGTATTTACATCCAAATCAGGTGACCGGTGTAGGTATTACAACAGTTTGCATATGTGCCTCCCACTTGCTAAGGGACCAAAAGTAATGGGACAATTGGCTTCTCAGCTGTTCCATAGCCAGGGGTGTGTTATTCCCTCATTATCCCAATTACAATGAGCAGATAAAAGGCCCAGAGTTCATTTCAAGTGTGCTATTTGCATTTGGAATCTGTTGTTGTCAACTCTCAAGATGAGATCAAAGAGCTGTCACTATCAGTGAAGCAAGCCATCATTAGGCTGAAAAAACAAAACAAACCCATCAGAGAGATAGCAAAAACATTAGGCGTGGCCAAAACAACTGTTTGGAACATTCTTAAAAAGAAGGAACGCTCCGGTGAGCTCAGCAACACCAAAAGACCCGGAAGACCACGGAAAACAACTGTGGTGGATGACCGAAAAATTGTTTCCCTGGTGAAGAAAGCACCCTTCACAACAGTTGGCCAGATCAAGAACACTCTCCAGGAGGTAGGTGTATGTGTGTCAAAGTCAACAATCAAGAGAAGACTTCACCAGAGTGAATACAGAGGGTTCACCACAAGATGGAAACCATTGGTGAGCCTCACAAACAGGAAGGCCAGATTAGAGTTTGCCAAACGACATCTAAAAAAGCCTTCACAGTTCTGGAACAACATCCTATGGACAGATGAGACCAAGATCAACTTGTACCAGAGTGATGGGAAGAGAAGAGTATGGAGAAGGAAAGGAACTGCTCATGATCCTAAGCATACCACCTCATCAGTGAAGCATGGTGGTGGTAGTGTCATGGCGTGGGCATGTATGGCTGCCAATGGAACTGCTTCTCTTGTATTTATTGATGATGTGACTGCTGACAAAAGCAGCAGGGTGAATTGTGAAGTGTTTCGGGCAATATTATCTGCTCATATTCAGCCAAATGCTTCACAACTCATTGGACGCCGCTTCACAGTGCAGATGGACAATGACCCAAAGCATACTGCAAAAGCAACCAAAGAGTTTTTTAAGGTAAAGAAGTGGAATGTTATGCAATGGCCAAGTCAATCACCTGACCTGAATCCGATTGAGCATGCATTTCACTTGCTGAAGACAAAACTGAAGGGAAAATGCCCCAAGAACAAGCAGGAACTGAAGACAGTTGCAGTAGAGGCCTGGCAGAGCATCACCAGGGATGAAACCCAGCGTCTGGTGGTCTATGCATTCCAGACTTCAGGCTGTAATTGACTGCAAAGGATTTGCAACCAAGTATTAAAAAGTGAAAGTTTGATTTATGATTATTATTCTGTCCCATTACTTTTGGTCCCTTAATAAGTGGGAGGCACATATGCAAACTGTTGTAATTCCTACACTGTTCACCTGATTTGGATGTAAATACCCTCAAATTAAAGCTGACAGTCTGCAGTTAAAGCACATCTTGTTTGTTTCATTTCAAATCCATTGTGGTGGTGTATAGAGCCAAAAATGTTAGATATATGTCGATGTCCCAATATTTATGGACCTGACTGTATATCCTCCTAGAATCCTGTCCCATCAGTTCTTTCAACTCATCTCTTTTTTGTATTATCTTCTGATATTTGTCTATCCCCTTTTCCTTTTTAAGCCTTTGTTCCAATTTTTGTAATTCTTCTATAGCCTGTTTTATTTTTTTTCCCTCTTTCCTTCTTCTCTGTACCTATAGAAATCAGTATCCCTCTAATATAAGCTTTATGTGACTCCCAAACGGTTGTCTCGGGTATTCCCTTGGTCTCATTTATCTAAAAAAATTGTTCAGTCTCCTTTTTTATCTTCTTCTCAATTTCAGGGTCCTGTAAAAGTGAGTTGTTCAATTTCCAAGATAATGTTTTATCTTCACTCCTCCCTATTTGGAGCCTCATCATGACGGGGGCATGATCTGATAATGACATAACTTCTATCTTTGATCCCTTCACTATCTCCAACTGTCTATGCTGTACCATTATGTAGTCTATCCTTGAATATGAGCCGTGAGCTTGGGAGAAGAAGGTATAATCTCTTTCTCTAGGATGGTTTATCCTCCACACATCTTCCAACTGGTATCTACACAATAACCTCTTCAACGATTTGAGACTCCTCTCTCCTTCCCTCCTCCCCCTGGAAGACACATCCCATCTAGGATCCAAACACAAAAATTAAATCCCCCCCACCACCAGGCTCCCCCTTTTAACCACTTTCCGCCCGCCATATAGTACAATGACGGGCGCAAGGTGGTTCTCTCCTTCTGATAGGACGTCATATGACGTCCTTCCATTCTCACCGCGCATGCCCTCGGACACAGCAGATCACGGAAAAAGCCGAAGATGTCGGCTCGGTCATATGATCAGCTGTGTCCAATCACAGCTGATCACATGTAAACACGGAAATGCCGGTTATCGGCATTTCTCTCCTCTCGAGCTGTCAGCTCGAGAGGAGAACCGGTAATCGGCTTTCCGCGGAGGGGACATGTACACTGATCATCAGGGCACTGATGATCAGTGTGCCCTGATGATCAGTGTGGCCCCAGAAGTGCCACCTGTCAGTGTCCATTAGTGCCAGCAGTCAGTGCTCATCAGTGCCACGTGCCAGTGCCCATCAGTGCCACATCAATGCCACATATCAGTGCATACCAGTGCACATCAATGCCACATATCAGTGCCCATCTGAGCTGCCTTTCAATGTCACCTATCAGTGCCAGTCAGTGCCACCTATCAATGCCAATCAGTGCCACCTATCAGTGCTGCCAATCAGTGCCACCTATCAGTGCCAGTCAGTGTCACCTATCAGTGTGCATCAGTGCTGTATATCAGTGCGCATCAGTGCCACCTATCAGTGCCAGTCAGTGCCACCTATCAGTGCCAGTCAGTGCTGCCTAACAGTGCCAGTCAGTGCCACCTATCATTGCCAGTCAGTGCTGCCTATCAGTGCCGCCTATCAGTGCCATATAACAGTGTCATGTATCAGTCCTGCCTTTCAGTGCCCATCAGTGATGCCTGTCAATACCCATCAGTGCCACCTACCAGTGCCTCCTCATCAGTGCCCATCAGTGCCACCTATCAGTGTCCATCAGTGCAGCCTATCAGTGCCCATCACTGCAGCCTCATTAGCGCACATCAGTGAAGGAGAAAAATCACTTATTTACAAAATTGTATAACAAAAACTAAGAAGAAAAAACGTTTTTTTTTTTCAAAATTTTCAGTGGTTTTTGGTTTGTTTAAGAAAAAATAAAAATCCCAGAGGTGATTAAATACCACCAAAAGAAAGCTCTATCTGTCGCAAAAAAATTATAAAAATTTCATATGAGTACACTGTTGCATGACCACGCAATTGTCATTCAAAGTGTGACAGCGCTGAAAGCTGGAAATTGCCTGGGCAGGAAGAGGAAATAAGTGTCTTGTAGGCTAGTGGTTAAACTCCATAAGTTTCCTTATGGTCCCTTCCAGGAATCCCGATGAGTTTTTATTTGGGCAATATATGTTAGCCAGTGTATATTCCTTTCCTTGCAGCTTTCTCCTTCTAAATCTTCCATTCTGTCCTCCCCGTTGGAAATAAATGTTTGCTGAAAGACCAATTGCTACCCCATTTGTTCCCTTTACAAGTGAATCTGCATATATCCAAGTTTGATAATACTTTGAATATAGTTTGACATTAGTGTTTCAAAATAGATGAGTCTCTTGGAAAAAAACAATATCTATCGAGTATTGTTGTACTTCCCTAAGTATCTTATGTCTTTTTCTAGGTGAATTTAGCCCTTTCACATTATAGGTCATAAGTTTGGTCTCATTCATATTCTCTAATGTTATTTTGACCTATTCCCTTTGACTCCTTTCCACTTGGATACAGATAGCTTCTACCAAATCCCTTCCTTACCGCTTCTCCTCCCTCCCCTTTACGCCTCTCCCCAGCCCACCCCCCTTCTCCTCCCCCCTCCCACCCTGGCAAATCTGCAAAGATTTGAATGGTAATCTTCGAATTTTACTTCAGGAAAGTACCCGCAATCCTTTCCATATTTGGAAAGTCCCGCAATCCTTTCCATATTTGGTCCCGGTCTCCCATGTTCCGAAATCTAGCTACCACATCTCTGGGACTTTCTACTGCTATGCCCTTTGGCCTTCTGACCCTATATATACTGTCTATTTTTATAGTTTTTCTCTGGTCTTCCCATTATTGGATTGCAGATTCTTTTAATTTTCTCCGTTAAATCTTCCTCTTGCCCTTATATTATTTCTTCTACTATGGTTCTCCTGATCCTCCGTTTTAAATAATAATTCTCTCATTTCTAATCTCCTTTCTTCTATTTGCATTTCTAATTTCTCGATTTGTGATGTATGTTCCTGTACTTTTTTTTCTGATTCCTCCAATCGAGACAAAACATGACCCAGATCGCTATGGAGGTTCCCAATCTCCTGCTTAACCACCGTCTCCAGTTTCATGAACATTTACACCAAGTCCTTTTTTAAAAGGGTATGTACTGGCGGCCCTTCCTGTTCCTCTTTTCTTTGTGCCCCTCTATTTTCTAAAGTTGGGCTTCCTTTTTCTTGATCTTCCTCCATGTTACCCAGTGACAATCTGGATTGTTCACCCACGAGGTTAATAGAGCATTTGCCCTGGAGATCTTGATTTTGCGATTCTGGACTTTTTCTTTCCTGTGCTGTCATATATTTTTTTATCATAAGAGTATTTGCATTTAGGGCCGCCCCCTTTAATTGGTTTATTTCTCATTTTCCTTGGCTGGATCCCGTTTGGTAGCTACCCTGCTATATGGGACAAGCGTAGTTCTACTGTATATCTCTCACTATATTGAACCAATATGGGTCTATTGTATAGGTCTTCTGTAGGTCTGCTATATAAGTCTGATACTAATCAATTGTATGGTACTTGATGTGAGTCAGCTGTATAAACCTAGTGCAAGTCTGCTGTATACGTTTGGTATGGATCTATTGTTCAGCACTGATACGAGTCTGCTGTATAGTACTTTGATGAACGTCAAGTGCAGATCTGCCGTCTAAGGTTGATATAGATCTATTACTCAGAGTTTGGTGCGGGTCTGCTGTACACTGCTTGCCAATAATCAGCTATATAGGGTTTGGTGCAGGTCGTCTATAAGTAGTTTAATATATGTCTGCTGTTTGAAGCTCAGTGTGGGTCTGCTGTGTGGTGCTTGACGCGACTCAGCTGCGTAAGATTTGGTACAGTTCTGCTGTATAGTCCTTGATACTAGTCCAATATATATTACCTGGCACCAGTCTGCTATGTGAGATTTGATAAGAGTCTGCTGTTTTTTTAGCGCTTACTGCGGTCCTGTTATTTAGGGTTTGGTGAGCATCTGTTATATCAGATTTGATTTGATATAGATCTTCTGTGTAGTACTTTTTCCCTTAAGTATGTCCCGTATACTGGAAATTTCTTGCTATATGCCCTTAAATGACCCAATTCTGAGTATTCTTCACCAGCTTCTTTATTTATGGTCTATCCAGCTAGTATCCAGCACTATGTGTCTGGGGACTCGCCCCGCACTCACTGCTCCGCTCCCTTCCCCCCTTCCGACCTGCGTCTGGCACTCCTCTGGTTCTCAGGCAGTGTCTGGGGCAGCCATGGGTCCTTCCATACCACCACGGGTCCTCTCCTCACCTCTCTCTGTCCTATGTCACCTCCCCTCTCCAGCTCCAAGCCCACAAAGGACCGGACTCCCGCGCTGCTCCAAAACACAGCACCAGACTCCCGCGCCACTCCAAAACACAGCACCGCCACCGCTCCACGCCGCACCAGGATACCGAAAAACTCCGGGGCAGGAAACACCCGGGCTCCACACTCTCTCTCCCAGGAATGAGGTAAGATCCTTGCAGGGTTGAGGCATTACTTCCCGGCTAGCAGAAAGGCGTCTGTAGCCTCCCAGCCATGCGCTACGGCTGCGGCTCCTCCCCCAGGACATCATTTACAGATGACTCTTGAGCTTGTTTGGACTGTTTCTGCTTTTTGATATCACGGTGAGTCGCATAGATTGTAGTTTTGTTAGACATGAAGATTTAATTGGGATTGGAATTGATCTAATTAGATATAAAATCTGTGCAATATGAACATTTTAAATGCGGCCAGTCTGCCAGACCAGGATAGTTCATGTTTAGGTATTTGATTAAGGTGGGTTAGAATTTTTGGAATGAATTTAGAATAATTGAGAGTTCCTAGGTCAAAGGTTTTGTTTGCTAACAATATTCCAAGATAAGGAATGGCTTAATTTTCCTAGATGTAGGGAAATTTGTTTTGGTGGTGCATTTTTAGAATGTGATCTACACCTAGATTTATAATAATAGATTTGGATGCGTTTATTTTATAATCTGAAATATTACTGAATTGTATGAGAGTTTGTTGAATTGTTGCTAAAGAAGTAGAGGGATTAGTTAGCATTAAAATTATGTTAACTGCAAAGAGCGTTATTTTGTGGTGGTTTTTACCTATATAGAAGCCATGTATATCTGGATTGTTTGGATTGAACTTATGCACTACTTGGAACATGTATGTCCAGTGTATCCTATCAAAAGCCTTTTTGGCGTCCAGGGCAAGTAATAAGGAGGGAATTTTATGTGCGTCTGCGTAATGAATTATGTTGATTAGGTTGCGTCAAATGTTTGCCTACCTTTAGTAAAGCCTAACTGATCAGGCTTGATCAAATCTGGGAGTATATTGGCCAGTCTGCATGCTATAATTTTAGCGTAGATCTTAATATCAGTATTTAATAAAGAAATAGGCCTGAAATTTTGTGGGTTGTCTGCATCTTTACCTGATTTGGGGATTGTTACAATTGATGGTTGTAGCATTTCGGAAGGTAATGAGGCAATGAGGCAGAAGAAAACGCGTCAGCGTATAGTTGGTTTATGGTTGTTTTTTTAAGATTTTATAGTATTCGCTGGAAAATCCATCTGGTCCCGGACTTTTGCTATTGGGTAGTTTTTCTATTGTTCTGTTTATTTCATTTATTGTGATAGGGAAGTTTGATTTGTTAGTTGTGATTTTGCAAAGAGTGGGTAAGCGAATTTGTGATAAAAATGCTTGTATGTTTTCTATAGCAGGTTGGAGAGTGGATTTGTCTTGATTTAGGTTATAAAGCAAATTGTAGTAACTAGCAAATGAATTTGATATTTCTTGAGGATTGGTGATTTTAGTTTTATCTCTTGGGTTGATAAGATACGGTATTTTAGTTCTAGTATGCAGGGATTTCATTTTTTTTTTCAGTATTTCCCTGCTTTGTTTCCATAATAGTAGTAGTTGAGTTGTAATCTTTGCGTACTTCTATCAAATTGGTACATTAGTAAGGAGCGTAATTTGTTCCTTAGTCTGGAGAGTGTATTCGAGGTGATTTGATTGATCTGAGCTTTATTTTGCATTTCTAGTTTGCGAATATCCTGTAGTATGTCATTAAGCTGTTTATTTCTTTGCTTTTTAGCTTTAGCGCACATTTGAAAAATTATACCACGTATATATGCTTTGTGAGAGCACAAAAGGGTGCCAGAGTTTGATACAGATTGCGAATTTATATGGAAGAACTCCTAAAGAGGTTTTTCAAGTATCAAGTTATTGTTGAGGATTTTTATAATTGACGAATTTACACACCAGAGGTTGTGTGGTTTCAATAAGTGGTTATCTGAAATAGTAATTGAAACCGGCGCGTGGTCTGACCATGTTATATTGCCTATGGTTGATGTGGTAACATTTTGCAGTAGCCATTTATCTACCAATATAAGGTAAATTCTAGAGT